ATAAAATGTAATCATCCATCAACAAAACCCTTTCATTACTTTGAAAGGCATTTAACGCAAGATTTGCAATAAATAAATACAAAACTACTAAAAGAACCTCTATAAACAATCATATATTTGCTTCAAGTGAAGAAACTTGGAAATATTGAAACTTCTTTTACTATTTTATTTTTTTTTTAGATATTTAATATTCTAAAGAAAAAGGGACAATAATTTAAGGCAAAAAAATTAAAATGTCTATACATATAATATATGTATAGACATTTTAATTCTATATATTTTATTGTGTGTGTGTGTCTATATATATATACATATATATATATATATATATATATATATATATATATATATATATATATATATATATATATATATATATATATATATATATATATATATATTGTGTGTGTGTCTATATATATATATATATATATATATATATATATATATATATATATATATATATATATATATATATATATATATATACATATATATATATATATATATATATATATATATATATATATATATATATATATATATATATATATATATATATATATATATATATATATATATATATTGATGTACATACAAAACATTAAAATAATAATATAAAGAAAACATTCTCTATACAAAAAATCCTAAAAATTTAACAAAAGTTATTAAAACTTATGCTTCAACACGCTGTATACTTACTTTTATATATATAAAAAAAATTTGAGTTAAACATATTTAATGAAGAAAATCAAAACTCTTAAAAATTTTAATGAGGAGGAGCTGTTAGTAAAGCCTGCTTTTTAACAAAATTTATTTATTGTCAAAAGCATACATTGTTAAGAACAGAGGATAACAACATTAAAACACATTTTTTAAACAATATTTTTTCAACACATTTTAGAAATACACTAATTACAAACAGAATTAATTTATGTGTTTTATTATGACAATACACCACTCTGCTGGCGAGGACAATATTTTTGCTCTCAACAAAGCCAGGTCACATTATAGCAAAGTACACCACTTGGCTAGCGAGGTCAACAATCTTGCTGTAAACTAAGCCCAGTCACAACAATTTGAAACCATGCAAACAACATAATTATCACTTACAAACTATAAACATATTACATATAACACACCACAAACATTAAAACATTTCATATATTTACACACTTACAAAATATAAACCCATATAACCTTAACACATATATACACAATAAAACACAATATAAATAACACACATATATATTTAAATATATAAATTAAGAAAAATATATAAATTTGAAACTTTACAAATACAACCTTATTTTTTTTTTTTGAAATACCTCGTAATAAATGTTTAACAACTTTCAAAAACAAACTATCAAACAATCTGGTTTTTTATACGGATTTTTATAACTTCTTTTAAATAAGGTATTAAACGATCTTGTTCTTTAACATGTAACATTGAGTTGACCGTGTGAGATGCAAGTGTTTTAAACACTAACTTTATCAAGAGTTTGACCTCTTGACCTTTGAAATGAGCAACGTCTTCTTGAGTCGTCTTTTAATTTAAAAATTAGAGATTAATTTTATAAATTAATAAATTTAAATACAATTGACAAAAGACTAAAATGCATGATTTAAATAAATCACCTGACTTTAAAAGTTACTTTACTAATTCAATAATAACATAATGTTCATCCTTTACTACAGAAGTTATCAAATAAAAATTGTTGATCTTATCACTAATTAAGCTGATGAAACAAAGTTTTTGATCTCATTACTGATTAAGCAGATACTGACAGATTATTAAGATTTGAAAGAGCCTCATTATGCGAGTTCAGAAGTAAAGCAATTTACAATAAAACTCAAAGGCCAAGTATGGTAAAAAAGTCCGTGTAAAGGTGCACGAATGGTGAGCAGCAGCAGCGGCAGCGTTAAGTTAAGTATTAATTATAAGCGATAACTAATGTTCTAAATAATTTTTTGTTTTTTTTAGTTTTTCAAAAAAAAAAAAAAATGACAAAAAACCAACTTTTAATAAATCACTTAAACCAATTACAAAATCTACTGGAGAAGAAAATATGCATCTGAGAGTTTTGAAAGAATGTACTAATAGTATAACCATTCCATTGACAATTATTTTTAATTGATCTTACTCAAATGGCATAATTCCAAAAGTATGGTTGTGCGCAAATATTACTCCTTTGTTTAAAAAAGGAGACAAACTTAAAGCTAATATCAGATTCTAAGAATGGATTTAATCGGATTAAAAAATAATTGAACAAACTTTAGATTATAGATTTATTAATGCAGTCTTTGGTTTTCAATTGGTTTTCAGCGTTTTTAGACTTCTGTGTGCTGTATCAAAATTTTTGATACAGCACACAGAAGATTGTTAATAAAATTAAAAGCTTTTTGTGAGAATAAATTTCTATTGTGCTGGTTTAAAGCATATTTTAGCAACAGAACTCAAAGGGTTGTTATTGGTAATTATAAATCAGAATAGAATGAAGCATCAAGTGGAGTGCCATAAGGCTCAGTGTTGGGGCTGTTGTTGTTTGTTATATATATTGATGATATAAAAGAAATAAAAAAACTGTTGTAAACTGTATGCTGATACAAAAATTATTTCGGTTATTTCAAATATCAATGACAACTGTGTATTATTTATTTTTTTAAATTAATTTGTGTTTAATTAACCTTTGTAAATGGATTAAGAAATGGTTGTTACACTTTAACACAGAAAAGTATAAAATTATGCATATGTAATTATGATAAACCGCAACTAAAAGAATTTGGGTTTACAACTTTAGAGAAATGAAGAGAAATAGGAGACATAATAGAATACTATAAAAAAAAAAGATATTCATAAAGTAAATTAGATATACCCTCTAATAAACAATTTGAATCCAAAAATAAAAGGTCATAATCAACGGTTGCACAAACAAAATATTTGTATATCAGAAGTAAAAAGGCATTTCTTTAAAAACAGGATAAATAAATGCCTAACCAATGAAGTTGTTAATGCTAATAATATTAATATTTTTAAAAGAAAACGAAAGGAATATGAGAAAGACTCTTAAACTCAAATGTCTTGATCGATAAATCCTAATTAAGTATGAGAAAAACTCTAAAAAATAAAAAATCTAATATTTGTATTATTTATTATTGTTACTACAAATTTTATTTGTATTTTACCACGGAATTACATTTCCGCAACTCATATTTTATTAAACGTACAGTAATAACATTAATTAATTTTTTTCTTAAATATTTTTATATCAGCAAAATATGGTAAAAAATATTAGATATATATCCAAAATTTCTTTTGAGCACCAAAAATGTAAATTTTTTTAATAACAAAACAAATTTTTAATTTGTAAAACTATTTTATTAATAAAAAACAATGTATACTTCAACTAACATAAGTCCTCTTTATTTAGAATTAAATATTTAAAACTTTTAAAAACACCTATAAAGGTGTTTAAAAAAAAAACAATACAAAATATAATTATTCTAGTACAAACTAATAATAATATAATTACAAAAATACAATAAAATCAATTAAAAATTTTTACATGTCATACTAAAGAGATAAGAAATAACAAAAGAATAGGTAAAAAGACACACTATGTATAGAAAGTAGTAGCTAAACCGAAAGTAACATTTGGACATGGTTAACCTGTTTGTTCATTTAATTAATTGAAATAATTTTCATTACGGTTAAGATGCTTATAGGTATGAGACTTTTTGACTCTTTTGTAAAGTTAAGATATCCACGTCCTGAGAAGGCGAGGAATTTCGAAAGTATTCAAAACATGTATTGTTTGTTATTAAAATGTTTTACAAATTTAAAATTTTGTCTTGTTTATGAATATATATATATATATATATATATATATATATATATATATATATATATATATATATATATATATATATATATATATATATATATATATATATATATATATATATATATAATTAGTAGAAAATCACTTAGCAAAATTTTTTCTCATTTAACACTGTTTCATCAATAAAGACTCATCAGAAATGAATGGTCAAATTAGTGGAGCTTCAATTTATACCAAAAATTAAATTACAGGAAGTCACATGTCTTAACTGCTGCAATTTTTCGCGTATTTGTGTTGTTTGCTGACACTATTGTAAAAAGAATTCTTTAGAAATGATTACTTACGCTTATTTAAAAAATAATATTTTTTTCAAAGAGGAGTTAATGTAACTATTATTTGAGCTCACTTATTTTTATAGTTTTAAGGAGAAACTTATTTTCGTGCCTGCAATTAGAAATCAATTCCGATTTTTTGTTTAATAAACATTCTTGGTTTGTATGTGTAACTATTTCAAATTTTTCTTGTAGACATAGTATGCATTTTTTGGAAATATTGTTATATGCAGGCACTGTTTTAAGGATGAACCAATTCAGTGTAAAATCATCAATATTTTTATCTTTTAATTCCCATATATATTTTGACAGCGTGGTGTCTTTTGAATACTTTGTATTTTTAAAAGATTGCTTATGATTGGCAAAACTTTTTTTCCATTCACCTCCTGTTATGCCAATATATTGTTTATCAGGTACATTCTTAGAGGAGACAACACATTTATATACCACATTTTTTGATAAGCAACTTCCACTCATAGGACAATTGTTTTTTTGTTTACAGTTACAATTTTCTGTAGTTTTTTCATTTTGGATTTCTTTTTTGATATATATATTTAAACAATTTAAAATACATTTTAAATTGTTTAAATATATATATATATATATATATATATATATATATATATATATATATATATATATATATATATATATATATATATATATATATATATATATGTATATATATATATATATACATATATATATATATATATATATATATATATATATATATATATATATATATATATATATATATACTATTAAAAAAATTAAAACTATTAAGAAAAAATTACTAGATACATGAATAAATTTAAAAACTTACCTTGTACCAGCAACAGCTCCATCATTTTTTCCAATAGGTTCTTTCAATTCAACACCACACCACGTTCCTTTTGCAAATCCTGTTAATCCTATATATTGAAGAATACCTTCTTGAGTTCCAACTCCAATTGAAATTTCAACATGGTCACCTACAGATAAATTTTCTTCTTTTGTATGAACATCTCTTACTAAACTTTCAGAATTGTTTTCTGTTGGTGTGGTTACTGTTGCTATTGGTGTTTTTACTAGCAATGTATCTTTTTTGAAAACCTTTTCTAACTTTTCTTCTTTTACAAAAACACCTCTTAATGGTGGACACGTAAAATATCTAACCCCTGCTACTGAACCATCATTTTTACCGGAATCATCATCAAGAACAACCCCTGCCCAACATCCAGCAGCAAAACGAGTTTCACCAATATACAATAACTTTCCTTTCTTGTTGGTTCCTTTAATTATAACATCATCTCCTATATTAAAATTGTCAGATATACCACTTATACCACTTCGAGTTCCTTTTTCAGGAATATTTCGCTCCAATACTCGTTGCTCAGCAACTGTTTTTGGTGTAGTTTTTGGATGAATAGGAATTGTAGAACCTCTCGGTGTAGCAGGTATGTTTGTTTTAATAGTAGTTGGTGGCTTTACTTTATTTTCAGCATTGTCTTTTTTTAAAGAAGATGCTGAGTTAGTATTCATTTGAGGTAATGATATCTCTCTTCTAAACAATGGAAGTTTAGAGCCAGACACCTCTCTACAATAACCAGGCTTTAAGGGAGTATCACCTGGTGCAGCTGAACTTGGTCTTTCCAAGTCACTATTTACACTTGTACGAGATGAAGGTGTTTTTATTCCAGATGAAGTTATACTATTCATTTTAGAATTTTTTTGTTTGTCACTACCCCAACTTAGGAAACTTCCACGAGAACTAGGTTTTGGAGGAGAATTTTCAAATGGTCCAAGTAGTCCACCAGATAACTGCCTAAATAAATAAAAAAAGCTAATAATCCAGTAAATATAATAAAATTTTTTAGCTCTATAATAACATTTTGAAATTTTAAAATTCAAGAACAGCACAACAACTAATATTTTATGAAACGAAGTATAAAATTTTATACTTCTCATGGTTTTCTAGTGCCACTAGAAAACCATGAGAGTACGCCCCTTATATATATATATATATATATATATATATCAATAATAAAAGTAATTTCTCGGTAGAGAGTGCTCAATACAAAAGTAGAGCAAGTATGTATTAAATTAATAATAAAATAAATACAATTAGATTTGAAACATAACTCGGAGTTTCACGCTTTATGCGATCATCAGACGTTACAAACAACCGTAACAACAACAAAAATTATATACAAAAATACAATACAGTGTTAGCTTAGATGACGTTAAAGTTGCAAATAACAAATTTGTTTTCGTGGCGACATTTTGATATTAGTTCATTTCGTTTATTCAGTAGTTTCAAAGATGACGTGATGATATGGTATTTTTCGGTTAAGCAAAGGTTACATAACTTTCCTCCAGGTTACATAACTTTCCTCATATATATATATATATATATATATATATATATATATATATATATATATATATATATATATATATATATATATATATATATATATATATATATATATACATATCATTTTTTATTTCTGAATTAAGATTTTACATTCAAGGATGTGTACAAATATTAAATTTACTAATATAAAGTAAACACCTTCTAATGTTAATAATAACTAATTAAAATAATTATATTGCTAACTTTCACAATATATAATAGCAATAATAAACTTTATAATATAAAAAAAACAATGTTAATGGTTTCAATTCTAGTTATAAATCAGTTTTGTGTGGTATTCCTCAAGGTTCTGTTCTAGGTCCTCTTTTGTTTTTAATCTACATTAACGACCTAATCAATTCTGTTCAATTCTCTTCAGTCCATCTGTTTGCTGATGATACAAATCTCTTGCACATCAATAAATTGTACCATGCTTTATGTAAAAATGTTAAATCGGATTTAAAAAGTATAGTTCACTGGTTAAATGCTAACCTAATATGTCTCAACATCAAAAAAACTGAACTAATTTTTTTTTCATCTCCAAGAAAAAACAATTTCTTTAAAAATGTTGAAATCAAAATCAACATGGAACTTTCATATTGATGAACTAAGCAAGAAATCTCAAGCTAACGATATGCTTTCAATAATTCGTCATTATGACGATAAAGTTACACAGGAGTATTTACTATGCATTATTCTCATCTCATCTTAGCTATTGTTGTCAAGTTTGGGGTCAAGTTGGAAACTATCACATTAACAAGTTGCTATCGTCTCAGAGTCAATCCATCAGATTAATAAACTTCCAACCAATTAAATCAGATAGATCAAAGTCCTTCAAAAAACTTTTCATTTCAACATTGCCAGCGCTAGTAAAGTATGCTAATCTTCTTTTTGTTTTTGACTCCTTTAATAAAAATATACCACCTCCTATCACAAACTTGTTCACAGAAAGTAGACTATTACATTCTTTCTCGACTAGAAATATACACAATGGAAAACTAAATGTACCATCTTTTAAGACCCAGAAGTATGGTAAACCTTCTGTGAATGGAACAGGAGCCTTGCATGCATTTTGAATGAGTCCAAAAAAATATATCCTAAAATACCTTTACTCCATTTTAAACAATATCAATCTATAAAAATTCTGAAAAACTTTTTTATTTTTCTAACTTTTTAATTATTCTAACTTTTTGGCATTACTATCCTTATGATTTAAGTATTATTTTAATTTTCTTTTCGTAATTACTACAATTATCATCAGCACTTTTTTTTTATTTTTTTTTTATTAGTAAAACCTGAAAATTGATTTCTACATGTTTGTTTTGATGTATATTTTATGTGCTTTGGTTTGTGTGTTTACAGTCCATGTGTTTCAGTGTGTGTCTTTGCTTATTATTACTTATATTATATTAAAAATTGGTGTCACTCCTTTGACTTATTATTAACTTATTATTATATTATTATTAGTTTTTTTTTTTTTTTCATTGTAATTATTGTAAACATACTTATTATTACTATTACTATAATTTGTATTATTTTTTTTATCTTATGTTATTATTATATTTTTTTATATATTAGGCCATATATTTATATATTAGGCATTTTATATATATTTTTGCTATTATTACTATTATTATTATTATTATCATCATTATCAAAACTATTGTAAAATGATTTACATAAAATAAATAGCTTGTTGTTGTTGTTGTTGTTGAAAGCTTTTAATACATAAGGAAGGTTGTTCCAAGTTTTTAATTAATGCCCGTAATTATGAGAGCGGTGTTTAGAGACAGACAGGTTTAAATTGAAATACTATTGGAATGAAGGTGATATAACGAGTGTTGGCACTTTTGGAAAAGAAATTGATGAAAGTTAAAGGTAGGTTATTGTGTTGGTGGTTCCCGACAAATTAACAGTTTAAAATTTGAATATAGTCGCATAGTTTTAATACTTTGGAAGTTAGGTAAAGCACATTAGGATTAAAATTATATTAGGATTACATATATATATATATATATTATATATATATATATATATATATATATATATATATATATATATATATATATATATATATATATATATATATACACTCTTACATGGTCATCTTACCATAAAATGTCAGTTTTAGGTTTTTTTTAATTTTAAAGACTGGAAATACTTTTTTTTTTTTGCCTGCCCCAACTAAACCTTCAGTTGATGTAGCAGCACTCTTTTGCAAGTCAGGCTATTTGTCAGTCAATGTAGCAGCACTCAGTTGCGAGTCAGGCTATAAGATAGTTGATGTAGCAACACTTCCCGCATGTTTTACAATTAAAAAATAAAAGTAAAAACATTCAGAATATTTTTATTTTTGAAAAATAAAATAAAAACATTTAGAATGTTTTTCAAAACATTCTGGTCTTTAATTTTCGGTTTTTGTGGTTTAATTACTTCCCACAATTAAATTAATATGTTTTGACATAATCTAACCTTAATATTGTCAGCTTTAATACCACAAATAAGGGAAGACCCATTTTTTACCGCAAACAAGTTTTCTTAGCCGTAAACTATAGGAATATACATCTATAGTATCACTTACGCGGACAGATTTAACAAAAAAACAAACACTTACAGGGACATTAGCATTATCGGAAACATTAATGTACCTGGTAATTTTTTTTCCCCGTAAGCATTGTTTTTTTGTAAAAAAAAATGTCCCTGTAAGCAACTTTTATAGAGAACCAAAAACACAAACATCGACTATCAAACAGCCTGACTCACAGCGGAGTGCTGCTACATCGACTGAGGGTTTGGTATGGGTGGGAATCCAGGTTTAAGGTTAGGGTTACAGTAAGGTTTCAATATGGTTATATTACTGTTATTATTCATTTTTGTAAATAGGTGAAAATAAAAATGAAATATAATATATAATAAATAAATTTATTATATATTATATTTCATTTTTAAAAATAGTATAGAAAAAGGAAAAAAACAAAAACAAAACAAGAACAAAAAAATTAAGTTTCCGTAAGCATTGACTAGGAGTGTATATATACCAAGCCTTCCAGGAAGCACGCACGGTTGCTTGCTTTGTCAACGCTTAAAGTAATTTTTTAGACAACTTAACCACATTTTTATATAGCAAATGTTTCAAGAATTCTTTTCAAAATAAGGCTATACGAAACTAAAGAATTAAACAGCAATACTCTATGAAAAGAACAGAAGACTATACAAAATAAAAAGAATACAATAATTGCATAAAAATTTTATTAAAAAAAAAAAAATCTATTTACTTTTTTTAATTATTAAACTTTTTAGTTTATTTAATTAAACTAGTTATTTCATTACAATTTTGTTTCCTTTTTTTAAAGTTTTTTTTTTAGTTTGTTTTTTCTTGAGTAGTTAAGCATTTTGCTGTGAATTATTGAAACGCTTTATAAGTTAAAAGGTGCGAACTGCCGTGGTCAATTTGTCTAAATAATGACTTTAAACTTGGACAAACAAGGCATGCTACTGATCGCGCTTCCCGGGAAGGCTTAATATATATATATATATATATATATATATATATATATATATATATATATATATATATATATATATATATATATATATATATATATATATATATATATATATATATATATATATATATGTATATATATATATATATATATATATATATATTTACATATATATTTATATATATATATATATATATATATATATATATATATATATATATATATATATATATATATATTGACAAAAATTCTTGAAACTTTTACTATTTAAAAATGTGGTTAAGTTGTCTAAAAAATTACTTTAAGCGTGGACAAACAAAGCAAGCAACCGTGCATGCTTCCCGGAAGGCTTGATTAGGGTGTCCCAAAAAACAACTTTTTTAAAAATAATCTGCTCTCACCCCCTAAATGTGTTCTATCTAATTCAAAAACACTAATTTTAAATTATTTTTCAATAAAAAATAATTTAAAGGGTCCTTCAAGACCCTCGAATATTTAATGGGTCCCTAATATTTTCAAAACAAAAGTTTCTAAAAATTATGTCAACCTGGTACTCAAATGAACCGAAATTATATAAAAATTTCAAAAATAATGTTCATTTTGGTAAAAACGATACGTACTTAAACAATACTTTTTTTTTTAACAAAATTGGTGATTTTTTTTACAGAAAATTGTTTTTTGTTTTGGCAAATATTGTATATTTTAAGGGAAATATTGTTACGTATCGTTTTTTTCGAAATGAACATTATTTTTGAAATTTTTATATAATTTCAGTTCATTTGAGTACCAGGTTGACAAAATTTTTAAAAACTTTTTTTTTTTTTAAATATACACGGGGAAAATGAAGTTTTTTTATCCCGAAAGTTTAGATTATTGGACTTCCACCTTTTAACATTTACCAAT